CGAGTGGCCTGTCGGTGTGGACGCCGTGGTCGGACATCTTCCAGCGCCTGCCGAAGCGCATCTACTCGAAGCTGCTGGCGACGCAGGACATGGAGGTGAAGTACAAGCCAAAGGTGCTGGTGTCCCAGGTGTGGAACGCCATCATCATCTCCATGTACCGTGAGCATCTGCTCTCGATCGACCACGTCCAGCGTCTGCTCTACCACCAGGCGCCTGCCGAGGACGCGCCGTACAAGCGTACGCTGCGTGCGCCGCCCTTCTTCCTGAACCAGATGGACTCGCACAAGCCCGAGTTTTTCCCCAAGGGCTCCGAGGCCGAGCGCCGCATCAGCTTCTTTGCGCAGTCGCTCACCACCTCGCTGCCCGAGCCGGTGCCCGTGGATGCGATGCCCACCTTCTCGGTGCTCACGCCGCACTACAGCGAAAAGATTCTGCTGTCGCTGCGTGAGATTATCCGTGAAGAGGACCAGAACACGCGTGTGACGCTGCTCGAGTACCTCAAGCAGCTGCACCCCGTCGAATGGGACAACTTCGTGAAGGACACCAAGATTCTCGCCGAGGAGACGAGCGGCTTCCCTGTTGCGGCGCCGTTTGGCATGGAGGACGAGAAGAGCGGCATGAAGAACGGTGCCAAGACGGACGACTTGCCCTTCTACTGCATCGGTTTCAAGTCGGCCGCGCCGGAGTACACGCTGCGTACGCGTATTTGGTCGTCGCTGCGTGCCCAAACGCTGTACCGTACCGTGTCGGGCTTCATGAACTACAACAAGGCCATCAAGCTGATGTACCGTGTTGAGAACCCCGAGGTGGTGCAGCTGTTTGGTGGCAACACGGAGCGTCTGGAGCGTGAGCTGGAGCGCATGAGCCGCCGCAAGTTCAAGTTTGTCATCTCGATGCAGCGCTACTCGCGCTTCAATAAGGAAGAGATTGAGAACACCGAGTTCTTGCTGCGTGCCTATCCCGATCTGCTGATTGCCTACCTGGACGAAGAGCCCGCGCGCAAGGAGGGCGGCGAGTCGCGCTGGTTCTCGGCGCTGGTGGACGGCCACTCGGAGATGCTGCCGAGCGGCCGCCGCCGCCCCAAGTTCCGCGTGGAGCTGCCCGGTAACCCCATTCTCGGTGACGGCAAGTCGGACAACCAGAACCATGCGATCATCTTCACGCGCGGCGAGTTCTTGCAGCTGATCGACGCGAACCAGGACAACTACCTGGAAGAGTGTCTTAAGATCCGCAACGTTTTGGCCGAGTTTGAGACGATCGACATGCCGATGGAGAACCCGTACGGACCCAACGCCGGTGTGTTTGACAAAGCGCAGGTGGCTATCGTCGGTTCGCGCGAGTACATCTTCTCGGAGAACATTGGTATTCTGGGTGACGTGGCTGCCGGCAAGGAGCAGACCTTTGGTACGCTTGCGGGTCGTGGCTTGGCGCAGATTGGCGGCAAGTTCCACTACGGCCACCCCGACTTTTTGAACTCGCTCTACATGAACACGCGCGGTGGTGTGTCCAAGGCGCAAAAGGGTCTGCATCTCAACGAGGATATCTACGCCGGTATCATGGTCTTCTCGCGTGGTGGTCGCATCAAGCACTGCGAGTACTACCAGTGCGGTAAGGGCCGTGACCTGGGCTTTGGCACGATTCTCAATTTCATCACCAAGCTCGGCAACGGTATGGGCGAGCAGATCCTCTCGCGTGAGTACTACTACCTCGGCACACAGCTGCCGGTGGACCGCTTCCTGACGTTCTACTACGGCCACCCCGGTTTCAACATCAACAACATCATGGTCATCTTTGCGGTGCACATGTTCATGTTTGCGCTGATGTTTATCGGCACGCTGAACGCCTCGCTTCAGGCCTGCCCCTACACGGACAGTGGCTTCATCCTGGGCACTGGCACGTGCTACTACCTGAGCCCGGTGACCTACTGGGTGCAGCGCACCGTCATTTCCATCCTGTTGGTGTTCATGATTGCCTTCTTGCCGCTCTTCCTCCAGGAACTGTCGGAGCGCGGCGCGATTGCCTCGTTCGTGCGTCTGATGAAGCAGTTCGTCTCGCTCAGCCCGCTGTTTGAGATCTTCATCACGCAGATCTACTCGCACTCGATCATCTCGAACCTGTCGTTTGGTGGTGCGCGCTACATCGCCACGGGCCGTGGCTTTGCCACGACGCGCCAGACGTTTGCGCTGCTGTACAGCCGCTTTGCGGGTCCGTCGATCTACTCGGGTATGCGTGCGCTGCTGATGTGCTTCTACGCGACGCTCGCCGTGTGGATGCCGCATCTGATCTACTTCTGGATCAGCTTGGTCGCCCTGTGTGTCGCGCCGTTCCTGTTCAACCCGCACCAGTTTGCGCTGGCCGACTTTATCATCGACTACCGCGAGTTCCTGCGCTGGATGTCTCGCGGCAACAGCCGCAGTCACGCCAACTCCTGGATCGGCTACACGCGCCTGAGCCGCACGCGCATCACCGGCTACAAGAAGAAGCGCCTCGGGCATCCCTCGGAGAAGCTCGCTAGCGACGTGCCGCGTGCGGGATGGAAGACCATCTTGTACCACGAGGTCGTCGTCCCGGTGTGCATTGCCGTGATCATCTCGGTGTGTTACTGTTTCGTGAAGAGCTTCCCGGCGCTTCCGAACACCACTCGCGGGAACGAGCGGCAGGGTGGCATTGCGCGTCTTGCGATCATCTCGCTTGTGCCGATTGCATGGAACGCCGCGGTGCTCCTCATTCTGTTCCTCGTGAGTCTCTTCTTTGGACCGGCACTGCACTCGTGCTGCGCCAAGTTTGGCAGCGTGATTGCCGCTGTGGCGCATCTGCTGGCCGTCGGCGGTATCCTGGCCGTGGGCGAGTTCCTGTGGTACATTGAGTACTACAACACGGGTAACACTGTGCTCGGTATCATGGCCATGATTGCGATCCAGCGCGCCATCATGAAGATCCTTGTGTCGGTGGTCATCTCGCGTGAGCTCAAGCACGACGAGACGAACCGCGCCTGGTGGACGGGTCGCTGGTACGGCCGCGGCCTCGGTGGGCACGCATTCAGCCAGCCGGCACGCGAGTATGTGGTCAAGATCATCGAAATGAGCATGTTCACGGCCGACTTCATCACCGCGCACCTGCTCCTCTTTGCCCTGTCCATCCCGCTCGCTGTGCCGTTCGTGGACCGCCTGCACTCGACCGCGCTGTTTTGGCTGCGTCCCTCGAAGCAGATCCACGCGCCGATCTATTCGCTTCGCCAACGCGCGCAGCGCCGCTCGATTGTGCTGCGCTACTCGGTGGTGTTTGCTTTTGCCTGGATCGTCTTCCTTGCGCTGATCCTCGTGCCGATCATCATCGCAAGCACGCGCAGCGACCAGACCAAGGCTGACCAGTGCCACTTCTGCGCTACGCTCTAAGCAGTGCATGTACTGCTGCACAATGCGCGTTGCGCTACCCCATTCCCCTTCCTCCCTTTTCCCGATCTTTCCGGTTGCTGCTACGACCTCCCATAAATAGCTGCCGCGCTGCACGTCCCTCTCGCAGTGCGGAACCCTGCAACGAAAAAGCGATTCGATTCCTCCTATCCTACCGCACGTAAACTCTTGGCGGGCAGGCAACGCCTGCGCCGCGCCGCGCTTCCCCGCGCTGCGCGGGGCGGTGCTCTAGGCGCGGGTCTGATGCGGGCGGGCCCGCCTCCACTGCATCGGGCGCCGCCGAATGACGCGTCACCGTGCGCCCCTGCATCCTCAAAGATATAGCCCAGCATTAACGTTTCTATGGACATTCAAGGGCTGTGCTAAAAAAGTCTTGGAAAAACGTAGTATCTAGACAGCAGAGGACGGGCCATCACGCAGAGAGAGCGCCTCAACGGCCGAGTCCAGGTTGGACCTCTTAGGGGGGACAGCGCCCATAGACGGCAGGGACGTCGTCGCCGGGGAGGACTCGGTTACAAGCACTGTGGGGGCGCGCCCCCTGCTCTCCATCACCGGTTCAGGAGGCAATGCTTTCTTGTGGGATGCGGGCATCCTCTGGCGCCCATCTTGCGATGGGGGGGAGATCGGCGCAAAACCAGAAGGCGCACGGCGCACGGACGTCGGCGAGAGGGTCTTCCCGCCCGGTGTACCCTTCCCGTGCGTGCTCGTTGATTCCTCCGGAATGGAGTTAGGCGTAATGACCGGGGATGTTGGCGTCGATACGGGGATGACATCAGGTACTTTTTGCCTGCTCAACCATTGTGCACGCGCAGCCGGCGTCGTGAGCTGGAGTTGAAGCATCAAACTAACTTGCTCGATCTCAACGTCCGTGGCGACGATACGTCCAGTACCGCTGGGGGATCGCGAACGCGGGCGCGAGCTTGACCGTGTGTAGCGAATCCATGTACGTAGACAATCTTCAAGCAAGCGCAAACTTTTCCGCAGCGTCCCATTCGCATCTGTCTCCAGCTGGTCGGTGACATCCACTCGCGTTACAAAGCAGGTGCCTTGCGCAGGCGGCTTACGCGGATCGATAGGCCAGGTGTACAATGTCTTGGTGGGCCAGTACAATAGGGACACCACATACTTGGCCCGGACCTGGGGCCGCTCTATTGCGACCAAGGACCACTTGGTCGCATCATAGCCCGAATGTTCAGCAGGTAGTGCTTGCGACGGCGAATCCATCATCACCTTGGGTGAGGGCGCACGTGGAGTCGCTGGCAGCGATGAAGAAGACCAATTCGCATGGCGGTATGCAAGCGGCTGTGTGACGGCATTGCCATACTGGATAGGGGTGGCCAGCAAAATCCCTCCGCCAGGGGACGGCGGCGCCGAGCGTGGCTGATTGGGGTTCCTTTGGGGCGAATTCTTGGAAGAAGGCAAAGCGTACGTGTGCTCCGACCGCCGCAGCATCTTCCACAAAATTCGCCTCGTTCGAGGTAGGAGCACAAAAAATCACTGATTACGTGCACTGCGCAAGGCACACGTCCAACACTTACGCCCTCTGTTGTTTTGTATATGCACAATAGCTGTCCTGAGATGATTGGTGGGCCGTTAGTTCAGTTGGTAGAATGCGTCTCTCCTACATCACGTGATGTTGACGGATACAAGATGAGGTCCTGGGTTCGAGCCCCAGGCGGCCCTTGACTTTTTGCAATTTTTCGGATGGACGCGCTTGGTCGTAGTTGACAATTGCTACATGGCGCTTTGAACCTGGTTGAGCCAGGTATGCATAGCTGCACACGTTTTAACAAAACGGGATGAAAAGGTAGACATCGTGCCGTAATCGTGTACACCGCCGTCGTCCACGTAGAGCTCGACCTTTCCGCCAGCTTTTTGAATCTCGGTAACAAATTGGGTGTCTTCGTCGTAGAGTGCTTCGACGCTTCCGACACACACAAACGAAGGAGGAATGACTGAGAAGTCTTCCTTGGAGAAACACAAGGGGCTTAACCACGGGCTATCCAGTGGTGCGGGGCAACGGTCATGGTATTTTGGCCCCACTTGCATTGCGTCCAAGCCCCACTGGCCATACGAGAGTAGAAGGATGTCGAAACGATGGCCAACGCCATTCATACCCCGCGACGGTGTTTCCACATCATGCGCACAGACCCAAGGCGAAATCAAAAGCAGACCAGGCACACCGGATGCGGTCGGAGCCTTGTTGTCCCAATTGGCGATCAAGTGCTTCCCATCGGTGCGCAAATAATGCTCGAGTTGGAGTGCCAACCATGCGCCGAAGCTGTCACCACCAAAGAAGATTTGCGAAGGATGGTAGCCATAGTTGTTAATGAGGTGCAAATACCCGGCAAGCGCTTGAACAATTTGCACCGGGAACGGCGCCTGTGGGGCGAGGTTGTAGTCCACAGAAAACAAATCCATCTGTGCCTTGCTGGAAATCGTTTTACACAACGTCTGTCCCATAAAGACATCGCCTGCAGCAAACGTAACGGCTGCACCACCGTGGAAATAGAGTATCACGGAACGTTTCTGGCTTCCCTTTGGTCCAGGTGTGGGAGAATGAATACCATTGTGCATAAACCAGTAACCCCTAATGCGTGTCTTTGCCCACTTCGGTTCGACAAGCGCAGGTCCTTGGTATTCCTGGGAGTCAATGACTTGGTTGTTGTCAATCTTGATCGACAAGATGCCTTTCAGTGCATCCAACGGCGGCGGCTCAAACCAGTCACGGTCACGGCGGCCCTTGCGCACATACTGCGATACTTGGTTTAGGACAGGGTCCGGGGACGCGACAAAACCACCAGGGCCAGTGAGGTTAAGCAGTGATAAGAAACTGCCAAGTATGTTGTTCATTTCGCGCCAACCGTTCTCGCGAGGAGGAAGCGGTTGCATACGGAACCGGATCAGGTTACGCATTGCACGCTGCGTGATGAAGACGCCCAGTGCCTCAATCCATGTCCAATTCTTGTATTTTCCACTGTAGTGGGGTAGTAAGGCACGGAGCAGATACAAAGGAAACACAAGCACTGTCGTCGGTAGAAAGAATGCATGGAATATAAGTGCTTTGACGATGTAATGCAGGTGAGAGAACTTAGCAGGTTGCGCCTTGTCAACGGCTTTCTGTACGCTTTTGTCCACCATGCCGAACAAACGATAACTGTCGTAGAATATTGGAAAGCCAATGCTGGCGAGTTTATTTTTCCCCCGCTTCCTGGTTTCACATGGACCGGCATCTGACCAACTTAGGAAACACCGTTTTATTTTTAACTATGACGGTCAGTTACCAGAGCATTCTGCGTAGTTTAGTGGCTATGACGGGTCCTTGTCATTACGACTTGGTTCGGACCAGACCCGGGTTCAATTCCCGGCGCGGAAGCTTTTTTTGGACCTTCAACGTCGCATGGGATTTAACCTGCTGCATTTTTTTATTTGGGTGGAGGCATTAATTGATAATACGGTATCAATAAACTCCGACAGTGGGGCGGCTATTTGTTTGCGCGTCGTTTTGCACGACTACGACTCGAGGAGCCCGCATACTCTCCACTGCCGCGGTCTCCAACGCTCGTAGATGCAGTATTTGAAGTTTTCACGTCGTCCGCACCTTGTCCAAAGGTGCGATTACCGCTTTTCGAGCCGCGCGCGCTTCGCAAGTTGGCCCGTGCGTTTCGGTACATCGTCGACGCGCGATATTCTTCGTTGTCGCGTTTGGTTGCCCACATCCGCAGCATGTTCCAGACATGGTTTCTGTGCCGTTCAATATCGGAGAGTATAGAGCGCACTTCATCTAAGCGCTCCATGTACTCCAGGCTGTCCATATACAGATCGTTGAGACATCCAAGGCTGGCATACACAATGTCGCGCTGCTCTTCTTCCGAGATGGTGATCGTTTGAGGCGCATCCGACTCAGGATTGGAATCCGGCATAGGGACCGTGAGCCCACCCTTAGTGAGAAATAAATTGTTAATCTGAGCCAGAGGGGGCGCATCGTCCAACGGGGCCATAGGGTCAAACACGTGGGGTGAATCGGCCGGCGCCGACGTCGGATGGATAGCATCGGCGGTGCTCAATTCGCCTTCGTTTTGTTCATCTTTCACGTCGTGTTGTTCTGTCGAGCCCTGGTTATTTGGACCCTCCTCGTGGTGCTTGTCCACCTTTTCGGTATGCTCATCGTTTCCTTTCTCCACCTGTAACATCTCACTGCGCATGCTCTTAGACTTTTCGACATTGACACGCTTGTTGACGGTTCCAACTGCATTGGTATCAGTTTCTCGTGGGTCAGAGTCGAAAATACGCTCCATCACACCGAAACAGCGACCTAACGCATGCTTCATATTGTGTTCGCTTTCGCGCAAGTCGAGCGCCGTACGACTCAACGATGTGATATGCGAGTTGTTGAAGACTTGCTTCAGAAGCCGACTCTTGAGCAGGTCATGAGCATTCAAGACCGGGAGCAAAAGCGACGGAGCCAACGTAGCTGCGCTTAATGAAAGCTGCTCTTCTTGGTCCATGTCGTCACTGAGGAGGTCGTTATCTTCATCGTATGCGCACTTTCGACGCTTGTTTCGCTTGCTTAGCATACCCATACGGCGTCGCTTCTGCTGAACAGGGTCACGTAGCATCGCACCCATACTGCCGATCATGTGCGCTTCCGCTTCCAGTAGAGCTTCAACGCTGGCATGTTGGAATGCATGAATGCGACGGTCCTCACGCTGGTGCAGCTCACTATCAGCACGGGCCTCGGTCCAATCGCCTAGCTTCCCGCGATGGATCCAACGCATTCCGTCTTTCACGCGAAGCTTGTGGTTCCGATTCGTGTACTGCGACGGTCCTGGCTCGTTCCAGTCACAGTCCGAATCCTCTTCATCTTCATCCGAGTAATAGGCCGACTGGTCGTTTTCTGGGAGGGATCTGCACGGTGAGTGTGCTGCACGTACAACCACATGAGCTTGTTCATCTCCTGTTGACGCAGCTGCTGCTGCACGTCCGGGTTGTTAGGATCGAGGCCACCCATGTCGTGGGCTTCGGCAGATTGCTCCGCATTGGAATGTGCGCGTTCCATCGCATGGTCCGGTTCCCGCTCGGAGTCATTGCGCGGTGCGTCTTGTCTCGTTGCCGGGTCCGTGGTAGGTGCATGCAGTTGCGGCGCGGAGGTATCGTGCGGCGAAGATACGTGTGAATCTGGTGCTGGTTTTTGCATCGGCATATCGTTTTGAGTTGGTCCGCCTGTGATTTCAGGCTGTGCAGGACCTGGTGCGTTGGATCGCGCAGCGGCGTCGTGCTCTCGGCGCTCCTCCATCACGGTGCCAAAAGATGCAGGTGCCGATCGTGTGCACCCTGCGTTGGATGGAGGCGCGCGCCCTCGCTAGGCAATCATGACAAAGATTTCCCCACCATCGCATCACGTGGAAATTCGGCCGAAATATGCAATGCTGGCAATCTGTGGGTGGCTGCGACGCATCCGATTTGATGCGCAGTCGGCGACAAAGCCCTGACGCAAACTGCACGCAAAAGCGGGTGCCTGCACCTGGCATCCGCATCCTGACATAGTTCCACTACGTCTTGGGGTGCTTGACGTCGAATCCTTGGATCCTCACGCAGCAAGTGCGCCCAGTTCGACGTACTCGCGTCAAGTGTGCATAGTCCACTGCGTTTCGTCCCTTGAAGGCCCCATTCCAGTACCGTTTGAACACGGCGGGGATAATCAATGTCCACGGCAAGTCCCTCGGTTCCAGCTGCGAGCCCGTCGCAGTACGGTGCATCTGCGGTGCAGCATGCGCAGACACCCGTGAGCCATGGCAACGCGCCCCCCATGCACGGCCATACGGGTTCGGGTATGACGCCCGCATCGGAGTCTCACGTCGGCCACACGTCGGGGGTCGGCCTGTATCCCGATAGCGTGCAGCCCACTCCGCACCACCTGGCGGCGGGGTCGTTCCCCAATGCGCAGATTTCGCCCATGACTTCGCCCTACGGTGCGTACGGTGCAGCGCAGCATCCCATGTACGGCGGCTCGTATTCTGGCCACGCGTACCCTCCGTACCCCAGCTACATGGGCCACCTTTCGCATTACGGCCACCCTCCGCACTATCCGGCCGCGTCTTCGACGCACGCATACCACAACCAGATGATGGGGGGGATGATGCCACACGGTGGATACACGCCCCATGCTGCGGGACACATGGCGTCGCACCACGCGCAGGCGAGTGCGCCGCTCTCCATGGCCGGATCGGCTCAGGGTGGAGGCCTCCCTGCGGGCCCAGGGGTGCCGATGGCGTCCAGTTCCGTGGTACAGGCACCTTCGTACGGCTCTACACCGCAGTACAGCACGCAGCTGCCGCTGTCGGGTCGTCATCGTGTCACGACCACGCTTTGGGAAGACGAGGGGACGCTGTGTTTCCAGGTGGATGTGAAAGGCGTCTGTGTTGCTCGGCGCCACGACAACAACATGGTCAATGGCACCAAGCTTCTCAACGTCTGCGGCATGTCGCGTGGCAAGCGCGACGGTATCCTCAAGAACGAAAAGGAGCGCATCGTGGTCAAGGTTGGTGCGATGCACCTCAAGGGTGTCTGGATCGCGTTCAACCGTGGCAAGCAGCTCGCGGAGCAGCACGGTATTGCCGACGCGCTTTACCCGCTGTTTGAGCCCAACATCCAGTCGTTCTTGTACCACCCCGACAACTACC